TGGTTTAAGCCTCCCCCAAGCTTAAGCGATGATTTCTCCTTCGTGAGCCCAAAAATTATATATATAATTGTGATCACGATGAACAAGATGCATAGGATAAAACTTCTGATGAAATTCCAATTTCAATCGTTTGTAATTCCATGACCCCGTATCATCACATAGCCTATACCATGTCGATGCGTCTCCCTTCAGAGATAAAGGGAAGACCTTCTTCTTAATAACATCTCTGGGCACACCTGCAAGCTTAAATAATCCACAAACTTCATCTACATATATTAGGTGCTCATCAAGATGCTTTGCCATCTCCTGCAAAAAGATTAGCTAGCAGTTTTTCTAACACACCCGAAGGAATTTCAAAGTAGACATTTTCATTTTCAGTAGGTTCAGTAGGTTGAGGAGCAACTCTTTGCTCTACTGGTCGGGGTGAAGATACCCCGAACAAGCCCCTTAGAGGATTACTTTCCATAGTAACAAGTGACAGTAAATTTCAGCACACCATATAAATTTTTCCTTACCAAATTCCACCTACCAAAGGCGCTTCACTCCCCGGTAACAGCGCCAGAAAAGAGTCTTGATGGCCCACAAGTATAGGGGATCTATCGTAGTCCTTCCGATAAGTAAGAGTGTCGAACCCAACAAGGAGTAGAAGGAAATGATAAGCGGTTTCCAGCAAGGTATTCTCTACAAGTACTGAAATAAGTGGTAACAGATAGTTTTGTGATAGGATAATTTGTAACGAGCAACAAGTAACAAAACTAAATAAAGTGCAGCAAGGTGGCCCAATCCTTTTTGTAGCAAAGGACAAGCCTGGACAAACTCTTATATAGAGAAAAGCGATCCCGAGGACACATGGGAATATCGTCAAGCTAGTTTTCATCACGTTCATATGATTCGCGTTCGGTACTTTGATAATTTGGTATGTGGGTGGACCGGTGCTTGGGTACTGTCCTTACTTGGACAAGCATCCCACTTATGATTAACCTCTATTGCAAGCATCCGCAACTATAACAAAAGTATTAAGGTAAACCTAACCATAGCATGAAACATATGGATCCAAATCAGCCCCTTGCAAAGCAACGCATAAACTAGGGTTTAAGCTTCTGTCACTCTAGCAACCCATCATCTACTTATTACTTCCCAATGCCTTCCCCTAGGCCCAAATAATGGTGAAGTGTCATGTAGTCGACATTCACATAACACCACTAGAGGAAAGACAACATACATCTCATCAAAATATCGAACGAATACCAAATTCACATGACTACTAATAGCAAGACTTCTCCCATGTCCTCAGGAACAAACGTAATTACTCACAAAGCATATTCATGTTCATAATCAGAGGGGTATTAATATGCATATAGGATCTGAACATATGATCTTCCACCAAATAAACCAACTAGCATCAACTACAAGGAGTAATTAACACTACTAGCAACCTACTAGTACCAATCCCGGACTTGGAGACAAAAATTGGATACAAGAGATGAACTAGGGTTTTGAGAGGAGATGGTGCTGATGAAGATGTTGATGGAGATTTCCCTCTCCCGATGCGAGAAGCGTTGGTGATGACGATGGCGATGATTTACCCCTCCCGGAGGGAAGTTTCCCCGACAGAACAGCTCCGCCAGAGCCCTAAATTGGTTCCGCCTCGTGGCGGCGGAGTTTCGTCTGAGAAGATGGCTTATGATTTTTTTTCCTCATTGAAAGACTCCATATAGCAGAAGATGGCCATCGGAGGGCCACCAGGGGCCCACAAGGTAGGGGGCGCGCCCCCCACCGTCGTGGGCAGGGTGTGGCCCCCCTGGTGAACTTCTTGCGCTCAGTATTTTTTATATATTCTGAAATTGACTTCCATGAAGTTTCAGGACTTTTGGAGCTGTGCAGAATAGGTCTCTAATATTTGCTCTTTTTCCAGCCCAGAATCCCAGCTGCCGGCATTCTCCCTCTTTATGTAAACCTTGTAAAATAAGAGAGAATAGGCATAAGTATTGTGAAATAATGTGTAATAACAGCCCATAATGCAATAAATATCGATATAAAAGCATGATGCAAAATGGACGTATCATTACCAGAAACCCCCGGGGGCTAAATGGGCCTACATGGGCTTTAGTGGGAGAGAGGAGGCGGCCAAGAGGTGCCCCCTCCCTCCCAAGCCCAATCCGAATTGGGAAGGGGACCGGCCCCTCTTTCCTTCCTCTCCTCTTCCCCTTCCTTCCCCCTCCTATTAGGACTAGGAAAGGGGGAAAACCTACTCCTAGTAGGAGTAGGAATCCCCCCTTGGGGCGCACCATGAGGGCCGGCCGGCCCCCTCCTCCCCTCCTTTGTATACGAGGGAGGGGGCACCCCATAGACACACAAGTTGACAATTGTTTTAGCCGTGTGCGGTGCCCCCCTCCACATATACACACCTCGGTCATATCGTCGTAGTGCTTAGTCGAAGCCTTGTGCCGGTAACTTCATCGTCACCGTCAACACGCTGTCGTGCTGAAGAAACTCTCCCTAGGCCTCAACTGGATCAAGAGTACGAGGGACGTCATCGAGTTGAACGTGTGCAGATCGCGGAGGTGTCGTGCGTTCGGTACTTGATCGGTTGGATCGCGAAGACGTTCAACTACATCAACCGTGTTTCTTAACACTTCCGCTTTCGGTCTACGAGGGTACGTAGACACACTCTTCCCTCTCGTTGCTATGCATCCCTAGATAGATCTTGCGTGATCATAGGAAAATTTTGAAATACTACGTTCCCCGACACTCGCCAGAGCCGGAGGAGGAGAAGAAGGAGGAGGAACAACAGTCGAAGGCACAACAGGGCCCCTAGCCAATGGAGAGGGCGGAGCCGGCTACGGGCTTCACCATGGAGGACGCCATGGCGGAGTTCGCGGTCGCCAAGCGAAGGGGGCGGTAGAGCTGACCGCCATCCTGAAGTCCATCCAGTCGGAGGCTGCGGTGGAGGCCAACTGGCGCTTCCCCCCGCCAGCGAAGGGCGGAAATTGATGAAATCTTTGCCTCTAGTGACGATGACGATGAGCCAGAGGTGTCGCGGACGGCATCTACTCGGTGCCCAGCACGAAGATAGTGGACATCTCCGATGATGAGTAGTGTAGGGTAGTACTAGGTTTTTATTTTGCATGGTTCGTATGAATTTGAGGGATCAACTTTGAGGTGTTTGGGTGCAGGGAAACAAATTTTGAAGTGTGGAATCAACTTTGAGGTGTTTGGATGCAAGGGAACGAATTTTGAAGTGTGATATATCTTTGTCTGTGGACGCGTCCGGATATGTCCGCGGACGTTTAAAAAAACAAGACCAAAAGGGCAAGCACCCCTCGGCGTATTTTTACAGAAGAGCGAGAAACAAGTTGAATATCCGCTCCTCGTGGGGGTTGAACCCGGCGGCCTAGAGCACAAGACAGTGCCCCTACCATTCAGCTAGCGCTCAATTCTCGTCCGCAGGCGTTTGAGAACCCGGATTTGATGTCCACGGTTGTAGATGCTTTGAGTTGATATGTTTGGTGGTATGAAATACGAGATTATTGTTTACATTTAGTTAATCCTCTTCTTCTGGAATAACTGAGGAGTAATGAAACCCAAACAAGAAAAACTGAGGAGCAATGAGATACTTAACAATCTTTGAAGGAATGATGACCATATGGTGATGAAAAGAGAAAGGAGCAAAGGTAAAGATAAAGAGAAAAATTCTTATATGACACTGTTTTAGATGTTGTTTCCCTATTTGACACCGAGAAACTTTTTCTTCCATATCCAACACCGTGTCTAAAATTTATGCCCTTTACGACACTTTTATTCAGTTTAAGCCTTAAAGGTGTTTTATGACACTTGAAAAGACCTATTTGCCCCTAAGGCGATATGTGATTAAAATTGTTATCTATTTTAAGCCTTAACGGTGTTAAATTACAAGCACTAACTCTGACTACACACATGGAGCTTGTGTGCCGGTGGCTCCGCACATCCGGGGCGGTAGGGTGTGGATCTCATGCAGCTGATAGTGTCATAAAGGGCATAAAATTTGGACTCGGTGTTAAATAAGAAAGACATTTTTTTTCAGTGTCAAATAAGGCAACAAATTTTAAAACGATGTTAAATAAAGAATTCTCTCAAAGATAAGCGATCCTCTCTTCCAGGTATGCTCGTTGGTAGAAACTCAGAAACCCAACTTGCCATGCAACACATCTTGATAGACCGACGAGGAAAAGATTTTTTGCCGAGAGTTCACAGCATATTGTGTGAAAAGTTGGAGCTGGACATTTATGCAGCTTATTATGTTATGAGCTTGGGTTGGCAAATCTCGCACTGCAAAGATATCGCCAATTCTTTCTTTCACCACAAACATTACATCAACTAACTTTCACCACAAACATTACATCAACTAACTTTCACCACAAACATTACATCATTTCCCGGTATCGACAATTCCTTCGTTTACCGCAAACGAACGTTACAATTTACTAACCTTTCCCCATGTAAGACAGGATATCTAAAGGGAACGGTATTTTATCTCAAAAGCTAAGTGCTCATTCATACTCTCCATCTTAAACCAAGGGTCAGTCCAGGCCATTTTGAGAAAACAATTGCGATGAAACGGTACAGGGTAGAGAGCGCTATTATACGCACTCATTAACAAGGCATGGGTGAGGAACTGTTAATTTAACAGAAATTTTGCAAACCGCACAGCATAAATTCTTGCATGATTGAATTGGTCAGGTCCATCACACCCGATGGCCACTCAGTAGCAAAAGTAAAAATTCTCTGCAGTCATCTCTTATTTGATGATGCTCCATAACACATGCACTGGACAAATCTGAAAAGAGTTTTGTTTCCACAAAAAAACCTAAGGCGACAACTACCGCCTGCTTGATGGCCAAATGTATATTCATAAACAAGGATGCCGTGGAGCAGTCTGGTGCTTAGAACGCGTAAGCGAAATCATATGCCTCATAAAATTCTTATTTTCAGAACCACGAGGCATCCTTAGTGGTGATGACCATCATCATCATCATCATGCCCATCTGGATTTCCACCATCACCAATGACCTTAAGCTGCATAAATCAAGCAGCAAAACGTCTGTTACAAAACCTAATACACCAACATAGCCTGGCAGCTGATGCTATGTTTTATCAAGACAAACTAGCCATCAAATGCATATACTGAATTAAAATTAATACGTGAATTACCACAAAGTATTGTGAGCAGACTGGGCATTCATGTGGCTCATCTTTTTTCAACCAGAACCATATGACGTCATGCTCATCCTCTGCAAATAAACCAACCACAATAAGTGTTATACAATCCTTGCCACATCTAGCAGTTTAGAGCTCAGATGAACCAGTTCCACAACAGCGTACCTCCTTCATCACCAGGGCAACCTACTATTCTCTTGTCAAAATAGGACTCAATGACGGCTGGTGCCTCCTGCAGGTACAGAATCAAAGTGAAATGAACAATATGGCAGAGAACTGGCACTGAAGTTGACAAGAAACAATGGATCAATTCCTTAGGTTCTGAACTTATAGTCAAACAATATTTTATCTTCTACAGAATGAAGAATGCATCCGCATACCATAACCACCATGACAATGCAATGGAAACTGCAACTTAAAAATTCTGGAACAGTACAAAGACACGCACACAAAAGGAATATAGAGAACTTGTCAGTTCCCACTTTCCATCAACAAAAGAAAACAGACAAGGAAAAGGCAGACAAACATCAAAGTATAGATTAAAGGTCAAGTGAACACACAGAATTAGCAGATAAAGTAAAAGGAATCTGCGACACGAGCTCAGCATGACCCATCCCTCAAATCTAACATATTTGTAGTAAATTCATGGAAGGTGTCTGAATATGCACATAAGTTCTGGTAAAGTCTGAACTGACGGAAAATGGATTTGCATAAACACTCAGATGCAATTCACTCAAAAGCCTAATATCTCTCTAGTCCCAGGTTACCTGAATTACACAACATATTCAAGTTTGCAATGCAACATCATAGCTGCCAAATTCACAGTTCGTGATTCACGATCGTCATTTTATCTGAATCGAGTTCAATCTTCAATGGGGGTTTACAAATCAAATATGAGATCCATAAATCACGAGGTAGGGTACATGGTCATGCAAACAACAAACAGATATCCACAGAAAATTCTATCTCCATAATACAAATAAATCACAGAAAGATGCAGGTATAATAGTTAGAGCTGGCCCAAATAATGCGTCTCTCTCTCACGCAGCCTCCGTTCGATCCCATTGCTTTCTGCATTTTCCCCTTTTCCCTACCTCTCTGAGATCCAGCCACCTCTGCTCGTCTCTCTCTGAGCGCTCATTGCCCCCCCTCCCCCCAAGTGTCCCTTCAACTAAACCAGTCCTTCGTTGCTACTACTGCTTCACCCAGAGAACAGAAGAGTGCTGTTTCTTGCGCTAAGGAAAAGAAACGAGTTAGGGGAGATGGAGCCACTGCCACCAGTACTGCCAAGGTGGCTTGGGCCGTTGTTACTGTTCTGAATTCTGTTTCTGTGGAGCTTGCAGTGTGCTATTGCAATGTGTCATGTTCGCTAGAATATTTGTGTTTGTGCGCGCGCGCTTCACTGTGATCAATAAAACGCAATTTTCTGTTCAAGCCATATATACCTCTGTAATTGGGTCATCAACCCAGATTTATGTGGGTCACGTAACCGTGTTCAGAACTAGCTTACCGAACACACTGCAATTAGGGTGTGTTTGGGTGATACCCACACTAGCCTTACCAAATGTTGGCATGAGTTGGCTTGCCAATTTTTTGGCCAAGGAATTCCTCACCCTCATTTGGCCAACTATTTGGCAAAAATCTGTGAGGGAGGGGTGTACACCCATTGGTAACCAAAATTTCAGGCAACAAAGCAAACAATAAAAAAATAGGCAACCAATAATTTGGCAGGGCTAGTCTGGGCAGCAAACCAAACAGACCATTAGTGATCCGGTTTCTTGTCCTGGATTCCTGGTAACTTTGGTTTACCCCGTGTAATCAACAAAATTTGGCACGGCATGTTCCATTCTGGAAATAGTAGATATAAAATATAACATCACAACTCACATAACAGAAAATATGCATCAGTGGGCTTGCAGTAAGAGCCTTAAGAGATTCACATGGACATATTATGACGGGTATTCACAGCCTTCTGTTTGGAACAGAAAACAAGCTGTCAGACTAAAGCTGAGTTTTCATACAAGTCATGACTGTAGAAACTGTACTGGCTGGGGGAAACATTATTAACTCTTATGTTATGACCGTATGAGCCAGGAGTAAGGGCATGTTCAGAGTTCTCTAGTGCCACGAAATCCTCAACTCCTGCTCCCAATTTTGGAATCTCACTCCTCGTACGAAAACGCCGAGCGGTGTTCCGTTCGGTTGCCTCGCTCCGGCTCCCGGTTCTGGGCCTGGGCTGACAGCCCGACAAAATACCATCTCCCGGTTCGTGGTATGGGCTGGCAGCCAAATAAAATATCATCTGGCATCTTCGGGGCAGATGGCAGGCCAGCGCTTTGAGCCAAACAAGTAGCATCTCCCTGAATTCTCTATCTTCCAGAACTTTCCGATAAAAAAAAAGGAAAACTACCGTCTCCACCTCCGACCTGTCCTCCCCGCATGAGAAACCCCAGGGACATATATTTCCGGCTCCCGCGCAGGCTGCTGCACAAGCAGCTCCTCACGATAGTCGACTCCACCTCCGGGCTCGTCATCACCGCCGCGACAGCCACCACTCACAGAGCCGGATCCACCGCGACCGTGCTCACCAACGTCTGTTGCGGCCCCACTCCTAACCGGGACCTCCGGCCTCATGGCCGCTTCTTAACCAGGCCCTCCAGCCTCGTGTCGACTGTTGTGCACCCTCGTTCGCCAAGGTGCCCGCCGTGCACGGGGCCTTCCACAGGGTGGCGAAGGGTGAGGCTGGGGAAGGACTCCGACAGCAGGAACTTTGATGCTCCTGGCTGGAGAAACCGGCGAGGTGGCGGAGGAAACTACTGCTAGCCGTACAGCTTGTGTGGTCGGTGCATTCAATTTGCAGCCTGAGCGCCACCTAGGAAGGTTCTGCACGGGGAGGATCGTCAAAGATGCCTCATGATTTGCCGGCAGCGATGGCTGCCCTTGGTGCTGACACTCTGGGTGTCCTCGGCCATTGTGTGAAGAGCAAGGAGAGGGGGATGAGAGGGAGAGATCTGTGGCATGGAGGTAAGTGGAGGCAGAGGGGTTTGGTTCACATCACGGGTGGGGAGTGAAAGCGAAATACTTTTTCCCACTTATCGGCGGGACTGTGGGTAATATTCTCCAACAATGTGAAACGCTGCTTCATATACCCCAATTTCTGGTGCTCTGCAATTTGTACTGTGGGACCTCTGTGCTCCACAGATCTCACTCCGTGTAGCTGGACCGTCCAGGCAGGCCCCGCCTGCGGAGTTGGCAGATCTGCAAACCGGAGGGTTGCCAAACAGGGCCTAACAGCTTTTGAATTACACTGCTTAATAGTGTAAACAAATCAAGTTTTCAGCACATTATATCTCTATACACACACACACACACACATGCAACCATGAAATGCATAAGATAATGAACCAGTACTTAATGCATTAATAAGAGAAGTTTAAGGCAACAGAGATCCTTCTAATGTAGCAATTTCCAGTGAAGAAGGTTTACAGCCTTTGTCATAACTCATAAAATCACATGAATAAGGTTTACGCCCTTGGTCATAACTCATAAAATCACAAATTAACCAGCAAAGGCAGGGGTAAATAATGATCATTTGACCGAACAGCATGAAGTGACCATTGTCCATTGATGCTATGGTAGACAGGGAACAAGGAAAAATTAAACACAGCAGCCATTAGATAGAACAGCCACGAGTTTCTACACCGATGGATGATGGCATATTGATGAACTGCGTGCATAGACAAATCTCCAAAGTGCATCAGGACATCACAGAATATTACTGGAAAGATACATGCACGATACATCCCACTCAATTCATTAAACTATCAATCAATAAATTAGTCACCAAAGTGCTCCGATGAACCTAAACAGAGCAAGCATGTATGATCCCATTTGCCATATTATGAACAAATCACAGACAACCAAGATAATAGTATTAACGCCTCACCTTGGTACCGAAGGGACCGACAGGAGGATCCATGTCGAAGCGCTTCTTCCCCTGCGAAACCACAACCAGATCGAGAAATTACAGCCCATTCCAAGGACCAAACCAAACGGGGCATTCCAGCCGGAATCTCCAAACCCAAGGCCCAATCCATCTCACCTGGAGCTCCGCCTCGAGCTCCTCGCGCTCCAACCCCGTGGCTATGGGCATGACGTCCTCCACACTCGTCCCTGCCGCCGCCGGCTTGTCCGCTGCAGAAACACGCCAATCCACCAGTCGATCAGCGCCAGGAACCTCCACGACAACGAGATCTGGGGAGGGGGCAGTTGGGCCTTACCAGAGAGGAGGGGCCCAGTGCGGCGGAAGGCCGCGACCGCCGTGGAGAGGGGAGCGGCCCGGGCGCTGGCCGGGGAGGGGGCCGCGCCGGCTGCGGCGGCAGCGCGGTGGAGGGCGGGGGCTAGGGTTTGGAGGCGGCGCCACATGGTGCGTGCGTGTGCTCTCAGGTCACGGCGGCAGCCTCCTCGGGGGAAAGGGAAATGGAGTGGGGACGCGAGCGAGAAGGGCAGGCTCGATTTGATCTGACCAGAGAGGGCGGAGGAGGTCAAGGACAAGAGGAGGGTATGCGACCTGCGGGGGGGTGGTGCGTCGAGGTCCGTGCGGGCTGATGGACGGACGGGATCGAAGGTTGGACTGTGAAATGAGGGGAGAGTGACAAGTGTTCGAGTGGTGGCGCCGCCTCTGGCGTGCCACCTAGGAGTACCTAGGAGAGTTGCCTAAAAGAAAAAACCTAGGAGTACCTAGTAGGAGAGAAAAAACACTTGTGTTTTTTTAAACACATTTTTAAAAAAAAATGAACTTGTGGCACACTTTGTTGAACTCAAAATAATAGTTACATCGTTAACAAGTTCATCGAAGAGGAATCAGGAGGATCATCATTGTCGGTGCAACAAACCCTGTGTCCGTTGTCTAGACTGTGCACAGACACAAGAATAAGATCACAGCATCAAGGTCAGACTAAAACACAAGGGGTCAGTTATTCGAAGGAGCAACGTGCAGCACAAAAGGACCAAGACTAGCCGGAAAAGTAAGATATCATCAGGGGAAAAACCTCCCTTGCCGGGCAGGCGAGCCTGGCGAGGATGGGGTTACCCCCGGAAGCAAGCGTTCGAGTCGTTCCGGCAGGCCTACCGAGGCTTACGGAGGTAGAACCGCTCCACCCCACCACCTCATCACAACGCAAGTCGTCAATCGGTGCGATGTCAAGCTCCAATGTGACTAAGTGGTTGTTATTCGCCACATGGCAGCCACTTCCTACAGAAAATGCCTCCAAGGGACACCCGTCCTGAAACATGTCAAGCAAGCAGGCGCGGAGCTGGCAAAACAGCCCGACAGGGCCTGCCGGGCGAGCTGTGATGTGACGTTGAGCGGCGCATTTAATGCGCCATGTCAGCTTCTAGAGTTAGGTGAGATAGCATTGTTTGCTATCTAATCAGTGCATAATGACTGATTTGCCACTGTGGTGACCCCTTGATCTATAAAAGGAGGCCCATGGTGACTGTAGAAGGGGTTGGTCAGTTGGGTGGCTAATCCACACTCTCACATTCTCATACGCGTGTAGCCGTTTTCGCCCCGAGGCAACCTGATAACCCACAAGTATAGGGGATCACAACAGTTTTCAAGGGTAGAGTATTCAACCCAAATTTATTGATTCGACACAAGGGGAGCCAAAGAATATTCTCAAGTATTAGCAGCTGAGTTGTCAATTCAACCACACATGTAAACTTAATATCTGCAGGAAAGTGTTTAGTAGCAAAGTAATATGATAGTAGTGGTAACTGTGGCAAAAGGTAATGGTAGCAAAAGTAATATTTTTGGGTTTTGTAGTGATTGTAACAGTAGCAACGGAAAAGTAAATAAGCGAAGAACAATATAGGAAAAACTCGTACGCATTGGATCGGTGATGGAGAACTATGCCGGATGCGATCGATCATGTAACAGTCATAACCTAGGGTGACACAGAACTAGTTCCACTTCATCAATGTAATGTAGGCATGTATTCCGAATATAGTCATACGTGCTTATGGAAAAGAACTTGTATGACATCTTTTGTCCTACTGTAAGTGCATCTAGTGCCACCCCTAGTTGGTTTTGGAGTATTGACGACAAACCTGGTTGAGGGACTAATGTGTTTGTGAGAATTGCAGGATAACACAGGTAGAAGTCCCTCATTGATTCAGTTTTCCTATCAGAGATGACCCCTAAAAATGTATGAAGACATTGAAGTCAAAGGTGGTATGTGAAGACATTCACATTGAAGACTATGACAAGAGAGGACATCGCGTGAAGACTATGGAGCGCGAAGACTTAGCAGTTTTGTTGTTCTGTGTTTTTCTTTGTTGGGTCATAGGAACCACCATACTGTTAAGTGAGGTCCAAGAGAACCAGTCAGAATGACTGAAGTGATGCTTAACCAAAATCCTATGTCTTCGAGTGAAGACAATGAAAGCAAATCTTATCCAGAGTTGGATAAGCCAGCTTTGCTTGTAGCCCAAGTAATGTTGTTGTGTGTGTTTGAAATCTGATCGTTGAAACACGTGTCAGTTCCTTAGTGACCAAGGGTCATTTCGGACAAATCAGGTCGGGTTGCCTAGTGGCTATAAATAGCCCATCCCCTACAACCATAAACGGTTGGCTGCTCAGAGTTAGTGTACGGTTTTTGTCGTTTGAGAGCAACCCACCTCGAAGCCTTTGAGAGAGAATTCCTTCCGAGGATAAAGCCCTAACCACCCAGAGCCAAAGAGTGTTAGGCATCACTGAAGTCTTCCTGTCTGTGTGATCTGAAGACTTATTACACTTGAGGACTGTGAATCCTCCAGCCGGTTAGGCATCGCGTTCTGAGCATCCAAGAGTCATTGCGGATCGCCGGTGAACGAAGTCTATGAAGGTTTGGGAGTCTACCTTGAAGACTTACCAGAGTGATTGGGCGAGGACTGTGTGTCCTTAGCTCAAGGGGAATAAGGTGAAGACGCAGTCTTCTGAGTTGAATCTCGGCCTCCCTAACCAGACGTACAGTTGTCACATCAACTGGAACTGGTCCAACAAATAATTGTCTTCAACGAGTCACTGGTTTCATCCTTCCCTTTCCTTTACTTATGGTTGGCCCTGGTGAAGTCATTGTATGATTGCATTATCTTTTGTCTTCAGTGAGTGACTGCTTGTTTTGATTGGCTTCACACTATCTTCCTATCTGATCTAAACTGCCTAGTTGCTATTGGTCATTGTTCTTTCACTTCATTGAATATTTGACTATGGCTTGCTTAGTGTAGTCTACCTTCCACTGCATGGTAATAGGTTTATTTCTATCGTTTGTCTTCAAAACTTTCATGTTTTGAAGACTTTCATAAAAATCGCCTATTCACCCCCCCTCTAGTCGATCACTAGCACTTTCAATTGGTACCAGAGCAAGGTACTCCCTTGTTCTGTGTGATTCGGTTTAACCACCTGGAGTTTTAGCTATGTCGACTGTAGGGATAATCAAAGTCTCCGCTGCGTGCCCAGTCTTCGATGGAACTGAATATTCCTACTGGAAGAATAAGATGTGCATGCATCTTGAAGCCATTGATGTCGACCTATGGTATGTCATCAAGAATGGCGTTCCCAAGGCTGGTGAAGGTGTCACCGCTGCTGATGTCAAGAAGTTCGTTCAACTGGACTCCACTGCCAAGAACATCATCTATGGTCATCTGACCAAAGGACAGTATGGCCGTGTGAGTGCTTTGGAAACATCTAAGCTAGTCTGGGACTAGCTCTCAAGGTCAACGAAGGCGTCTCAACCCAAAGAGATCAGAGAATCAGTGTCCTTCGCAACCTCTTCAACCGCTTCAAGAAAAATGATAATGAGAATGTCCAGCTCGCGTTTGATCGACTCACTGACATCACCAATGAGCTTCAAGCCCTCGGCGCTATTGAGATCACCAAGCATGAAGTCGTCAAGACACTCCTGAGATCACTTGACAGCTCGTTTGACACCCTAGCCCTAATGATTCAAGAACGTCCTGACTTCAAGACACTCGATCCGTCTGACATACTTGAGAGGCTCAACACACATGAGTTTCAGCTTTCTGAGAAAAGAGACATCTACAGTCCCAACTATGGGCGAACTCGTGCCTTGAAGGCAAAAGCTGTCTCCTCATCTGAAGAAGAATCTGATAGCAGTTCTGATGATCCTAAAGACATTGGAAAGGAGCTTTCTATGCTGGTGAAGAAGTTCCAAAAATTCACCAAGAAGAAAGGCTTCAGAAAGTCCTCACGATCAAGCTCAAGGAATGATGAAGCTTCTGCTCATGACTACAAGAAGAGAACATGCCACAAGTGCAAGAAACCTGGCCACTACATCTCTGAGTGTACGCAGTGGGACAATGAAAACAAGAATAAAAAGAAGAGCAAGGAGTATGATTCTGACGACAAGAAGAAGAAGAAATACTCAAAGTCTTCTTCCAAGTCTTCTTCAAAGTCTTCATCACACAAGAAGAATTCATCTGGCAAGGCTCGTGCGTTTGTTGGCAAGGAAATGGATTCAGAGGAGGAGTCCGCTTCTGAGGAGGCAGAGGTGGAGTCTGAGGAGGAGTCCGATTCTGGCGTGGCAAGTCTGGCTACAGCCTACGTTGCCAAGTCCATCTTCAACACTGAAGACAATGACTCCGTCACCAACGCTGATGCTAATGACAAGGACAACTCCACTCCCACCTACTGCTTCATGGCACGTGGTGCCAAGGGAAAGGTCTCCAGCCGAAAACCAAAATCGTCTGAAGCTATTGCTGGTGACCTTAAACATCTTGCAGGGCGCAAGATCAAATGCCCAAATGGTCTTATTATGTATTTTGTTCCTGAGTTGCTTGCTAATTGCCCTATCAATCCTAACCTTGATCTAAGCTTTCATAATCCACTTGCTCGTCAAATGTTTTTTCTTCACAATTCTCTTCGTGAAGCCTATCCCCCTAACTGCACTATAGGGTACGACACCAGCTGCTTCAGAATGGATTATTGATAGTGGGTGTACTAATCACATGACTGGCAAACGAAGTCTTCTTATGGACTCAACCTTACGTCCATCTGACAAAAGTCACATCACATTTGCTGACACTGGTAAAAGCAAGGTATTGGGTCTAGGTAGAGTTGCAGTCTCAAGGGATCAACACATGGATAAAGTCATGCTTGTTGAATCCCTTGGTTTCAACTTAATGTATGTCTCAATGCTTTGCGATTTAAACATGATTGTGATGTTTGGAAAATATCGTTGCCTTGTTCTAATGGAATCTGACAAGTCTCTAGTTTTTTAAGGGTATCGGAAAGATGATTTGTACATGGTAGATTTCTCAGCAGGACCACAACTTGCCGTATGTCTTTTAGCAAAAGCTTCAGAATGCTGGCTCTGGCATCGAAGGCTAGGACATGCTGGCATGAGGAACCTACACACTCTTGC